GTTGTGTACTGTTGAATCGGATCTGACTGGCATGGGAGGAGATTGCTTCTCCTTCTCCAGCAGAGCATCTGGTGGATTTGAACCATTCTCCCTAGGGATTGCAGTGCAACTTCTTGCCCCTAGGCCACTACAGCTTCCTTGTTTACCTTTTTCTTGTAGAACCATGCTTTGACTGCATTTGTCTCCATTGACGAGTAAGATATATTGTACATTCAAGGACCCCACAGGCATGTACAGGGTGAGCAATGAATAAGGAAGAACAGAGAAGAGCTGATGCCTTGGAGTCGTGGTGTTGGTAATAAATATTGAGCCCATCAACAAACGAATGGATAGAGAAACTCTAGTATATTCACACAATGGAATACTATGCAGCATTGAAAAATAAGGAACTCATGAAATATTATGCAAAATGGGTGGCCCTGGAGGACACTATGCTGAGTGAAATATCTCAGTCACCAAAGGACAAATATTGCATAGGGCCACTGTTGTAAAACGGGACTGACATCGAGGTTGAGGGAAGACAGAAAAGGAGGGGAGGGATGATGTATACTGCATTGAAACAGATGAGGGAGAGAACTGTTTAAAAGGGACATATGATTGGGTATTATTGTCATGACAGGAGTCCAGAGTGAAGACTGCACAGTGGAGTGGACTTGGGAGGGGGGGAAGGATTGCATGACAATGAAAGAGTTTTTCTTTTTCTTTCCAAGGAGAAGAGTGAATTGCAGAGGAGACAGGGGTGGGCAGGGAGAAAAGTGCAACAGTGAATGACTGGAAACCCTAAGTCTCTGTAAACTTTCATTAAAATGAATTAAAAAAATAGAATATATCGTACACTGCTAGAAGACGGATCCATTCCTGTTGAAGGAAGTGTGATCGGAATGCTCTTGGGTAAAGCAGAGGGTTAGGAAAAAAAAAAGAGGAAGGTGCCCAGTGACATCGTGGCGGTGACAATAAGTCCAAGCATAACGGTGATTGTGAGGGTGTCACAGGGCTGGAGGGTGGATTATTCTGTGGTGCATGATGTTACCACCAGTCAGTACCAACCCAGCAGCCCCTGAGCACCCCTACGTGCACTGTGGTATTTCCGCTTTGCTGGAATTTGCAGCAGGGAACGAGTGTTGGGACCTCTCCCCACGTCCTGGTCCCTTGGGAGGCCAGCCGAATCCTCTGGGAGCGGAGAAGGTGTATCCACGTAAAACAGCATCTCCCAGGGCTCCCTGGTCTTTGCGGGACTCATAATTCAGAATGAGGAAGCCACTGAGAATAACTCACTTGATGCTCCGGGGGGCCGTGAGGTTGGAGAAAGAGGAAGAATGGCACGCCTGGCTTTGCGATGTGAGCTGTTCCGCTTCTTGTAGGAGGAGGAGCGTTGAATCACGCTGATCGTATCAGTCTCTCAGGAAGACTTTGGTTCCCACGTTGTTTCATCACAAGGGGAACGTCTGTCCTCATGTGCACATCATCCCGTTGGCTGTGCGCTTCGCAGCAGGTCTGGACTCACGCGACCATGCGCCCCGGGCTCTCGGCCCTGCTTGTGCTTGGTGAGCGCTGGGCAAGAAACTTACGGGCGAGGCAGGGAGGGGGAGGCACTGAAGAGCCTGGGCGTCACACCCTGGCATCAGCTCCTGGTAGACTTCCTTCTTGTGTTCTTAGACTCAGGTTACCCCAGAGGATGCTCTCCTCTCCTGCACCTGCTACTCAGTGTGGTTACTCAGTTCAGTGACTGAGAATCCCTCCGTTCTAGCGCGGCCCTCTTAACACATTGTTATCCTTTTCAGGACTTTGTCTGGACCGAAAGATTTGTGCTGCCAACCGTGAGTCTTGCCTCCCTGTGTCTCCTAGCTGGGCTCTTGGGCTGGTTCCCACCCTCAGCTTGCATCCTCTCATACTTTAACTCTTACGTTTACCTTTGATCCTTAACCATATATTAATTTTATGGGAATCTTTGCCCTTGACAGATTCTAGGTTTCCAAGCTTTCTTCCAGAGTCATGTAAAGCTCTCCAGCTTCAATTAATGCTTAAGGCAGATACAAATGTGGTCTGCAGGGGCAGCTCTGGTGGCCTAGTGGCAAGAAACTGCACTGCAATCCCAAAGATATGTGGTTCGAATCCACCAGATGCTCTGCCAGAGAAGGAGAGGCCATCTCTTCCTGTACCAGTCAGATCCAATTTGACGGTACACACACACACACACAAATAATATTAAAAAATAAAAAACAAAACAAAAAATAAAACAAAAAAATGTGGTCCGCATTTAAAAATACTGACACAGAGAACTGGGTAAATGGATTCTAATCCCGCGTCGAGCCTGTGGCTGTGGAACCAGCCAGCCTGTGAGTTGGTAGAAACTTTCTCACATGTTACCATCCGGTTTTCCCAAGGTTCCTCTGCTCTTCAGAAGTCCGTCACAGACGGAATGTTCTTGTTTGGGAGACAGACTTGGAGTAAAATCCAGACCTTGGAATTTTCCTGCTTCCATGGAGGTGTGGAAGCCATTCCCTGCATTTCTCCATAGGTTTTTTCCTTCCTGAAATCAGAGTGGGAACTAACAGGATGGTGCCTTTTTTTAAGTTTAATGTATAACTCACATAAAGTTCAGAGAAGAGAAATCCATATTCAGGTTCTAAAAATAACAGCTGCTAGACAAAATCTATTGATGCCAAAGTCTACAAGTCCAAGATCAAGTTCTCTTCTCTTCAGCAACCAAGATTGGGGTATCTGCACACCATAGGTTTTTGTTTGTTTTCTTTTTAACCAATAATAGTTATCAACTTTAATGTGATATTATAAAGGACAAAACAAAACCATTTTATTACTAAATGATAACCTTAATAATAAGTGAATCCCTGGCAAAATGCAGAACATAGTAGATGATTTACATAATTTTTTTTTGCTATAAGGAAACTTCTTTTTTTATATATATTATTTTTGTGTGTGTGTGCGTGTACCGTCAAATCAGATCTGACTGGTACAGGAGGAGATTGTCCCTCCTTCCCTGGCATAGCATCTGATGGGTTCGAACCGTGTGCCTCTGGGATTGTAGTTGCAATTCCTTGCCACTAGGCCACCAGAGCTCCCCTAGAAAACTTCTTAAGCAACAGTCAGCTCTCAACTTTTTTTGTTTGTGTTTGTTTTACACAATCCTTCGCCCCCAGGTCCACTCCACTGTGCAGCCTTCGTCTTGATGCCTGTCATGACAATAATACCCAAGCATATGTCCCTTTTAAGCAGTTCTCTCTCTCATCTGTTTCAATGCAGTATACATCATTCCTCCCTTCCTTCTCTGTCTTCCCTCAACCCCGATGTCAGTCCTGTTTTCCAACAGTGGCCTTATGCAATATTTGTCCTTTTGTGACTGAGATACTTCATTCAGCATAATGTCCTCCAGGGTCACCCAACTTGTATAATATTGCATGAGTTCCTTGTTTTTCAATGCTGCATAGTATTCCGTTGTGTGAATATACCACAGCTTCTCTATCCATTCGTTTGTTGATGGGACACATTTCCTGATTTTAAAGCATAGGAATCTGGAGATGGTGGAAAGACCAAACTGAGTGGAGAGCAATCAAGAATGTAGCTCACGGAAGTCAAGTGGAAATTGTTTTTTAGAGGACAGAGTGATATGCAGTCAAATATTGTCGATTTAACCATGTCTAATAATTAACCCCATCTTACTCTGAAGACATTTATCTGCTAATCAAAAGATGTGAACCCATTAGATGTTCCTCAGGAGAAAGTTGAGGAATTCTCCCACAAATAGGCTCAGACACTCCACGGCTCGCTTCTGCTACGTCCCTCGGGACGGCTGTGCCATCTGACTTGTTGGCAGTGTGTTTGGTTTTGGTTCATTACTTGGTTCCCCAGTGGACAGACGGAGGTCTCTGAGTCTCAGGGTGTAGAAGGACCCCGGCTGGGGTTCACAGCAGATAACCTGGCTCAGATCCTGGACGTTAATCCATCAATGATTCCCAACGCCGCCTTTTCTAGAGCTTGGTGGGAAGCGGCAAGGGAGATTTCTTCACATCAAAATGTTCTGAACTTGCAGGTTCTGTCTCCTTTTCCATGACCAAGCCCTCCATCTGGGCGGTGCCAAGGGCTTTGACACCCCAGCACAGCTCTGTGACCATCTGCTGTAGGGTCCCTCCAGGTGTGACCCGCGTACGTCTGCAAAGAGCAGAAGGCAGACCATGGGAGGTTGATACATTTTCGCACCACGGAGCCCAGGAGGTGGTCCGGTTCTCCATTCGGGAAGTGGAAGTTGTTAACGCAGGACGTTATTACTGTGAATATGTAAAAGAAGGAGCCGCATCCAGAAGTGAGCCCCTGGAGCTGGTGGTGACAGGTAAGGACCACCGAAAGACAAACGCCCCTGATATTTAAAAAAAAAAAGTTTTACAGGCACACCCATGTTTATCGCGGCTTTGCTCACAATAGCAAGGAGTTGGAAACAACCTAAGTGCCCATCAACAAATGAATGGATAGAGAAGCTGTGATATATTCACACAATGGAATACTATGCTGCATTGAAAAACAAGGAACTCATGAAATATTGTTCAAAATGGGTGACCTTGGCGGATATCATGCTGAGTGAAGTATCTCAGTCACAAAAGGACAAATACTGCATGGTGCCACTGTTGTAAAACAGGACTGATATCAGGGTTGTGGGGGAGACTGAGAAAGATGGGATGATAATGTATACTGCATTAAAACAGATGCGGGAGAAAACTGTTAAAAAGGTATCTCTGATTAGGTATTATTGTCATGACAGGAGTCCAAAACGAAGGCTGCATAGTGGAGTGGATCTGGGGGGAGGGACTGTAAAACAATGAAAGAATTTTTCTTTTACTTTTCCAAAAGGGTAGTGTACAAGGGAGGAGGGTTGGGAGGGGAGAAAAGTGCAACAATGAATGAATGGAAACGCAAAGTCTCTGTACATTTTCATTGAAATGAATAATAAATTTTTAAAAATTTACTTATTTTCTGGCCAGTGCTGGTGCAAGAAAATATTTCCATTCTCGACATGGCAATGCACTGGAGTGTCTGTCGCTTTCTTGTTTTGTTTCTATTTTCATTTGGGGGGGGCTCCTTTTGATCCTGCACGACAGTAAAGGATGTCTGAATCTTACTCTGGTTTCTTCCTTGTCTCTCTCAGCGCAGACCTTGGGGACGGTGGTGGAGTAGAGTGTTGCTATGTGCTGTCACGTAGACTAGGAGTCAAGGTCCCATCAGCAACAGACTGGAAAGTGACTTTGTCTTGTTCCAGCCTCATAATCTCCACCTTGACCCAGCCCATTGTTGTGGTCACATGTCAGTTCATCTCACGGAGGGTCCTTCTCTTCAACGACTCTCCCCTTTACCCAAGTACGATGTTCTCCCCCAACGACCGGTGCTTCCTGGCACTACGTCCCACGTATGAGGGAGGAAGCATCATTGTTGGTGTTTTTGTGGGACATCCTTTTCGCCTTCCCTCCAAGACAGATGGTTTTGTACTTTTGGAAGTTCGTAGTCGATTTAAAGACCCTTTGTCAACATCACACCTGTTGTTGTTGTTGCTGAGGAGAATATGACTCGTAGCGACCCTATGAACAGCCAACCTGAACCCTGCCCTCCCCTGTGCCAATCTCATCATCTCTGAGATACTCGAGACCACTGCTGAAGTCACAGTGTCAATCCATCTCGTTGGGGGGTCTTCCTCTCACTCACTGACCAATCTTTCCAATCATGACATCCCTTTCCAAGGAATAGTCTCACCCAGCCACGTACCCAAAGTATGAAAGACAAAGCTTCATCATCCATGCCTCCAAGAAGCACTCTGGTTGCATCCTTTCCAGGACATGTCTGTTCATTCTTTTGGCAGTCCATGGGGTAGTCAGTACTCTTTTCCAACATCACAGCTCAAAGGCATCAATTCTTCTTCTGTCGTGCTTATTCATGGTCCAGCTCTCTGATGTGTAGCAGGTGATTGAGATGACTGTATGCCTGACTCAGGTGCACCTTAGTCTTCATACTGACATCATTGCTCTTCATTAGTTTGAAGAACTTCTCGACAGTGGACTTGAGCAATGCAATAGGTCTCCCGATTTCCTGACTCCTGGTGCCACGGGTGTGGATTATTGATCCAAGCAAGCGGAACTCATTGGCAGCTTCAATCTTTGCTCCTTCTAGCCATCATAATGTTGACTGCGGGTCTTATGGTGAGGCTCTCTCGTATTAACCCACGCAGGATGGTGCAAGGTTCCAATCTGTTGCTCAGAAGGCTCTGGGTCTTAGTCCACTTGATGGCACCTGCCAATAACAGCAATCACATGTTCTATTTTCTCCCAGGAATCTTCAAAAATATACCATCTCTATCTGCTCATCCGGGTCCCCATGTGACCACAGGAGGGGATGTGACCCTCATTTGTCAATCAAGTCTTCACTATGATGTTTTCCATCTGGTTAAAGATGGGGAAATAGTCTTCTCCCAGAACTGTTCCCATTGGAACCACAGCTCCTGCCTCATCTCCCCAGTGGCCCTGGTCCATGAGGGCTCCTATACATGCTACGGTGCTTCTAAACAACAGCCCTTCCTCTGGTCGCTGCCCAGTAAGCCCCTTGAGCTGTCAGTCACAGGTAAGTGCAGGTCTCTCACTTCAG